TCAACTTCGATGCCAAGGTGCGTCGCGAATCCACGGACCTCGAGGACATCTTCATTGCGCATATCGGTTCTATGGACTGTTTCGCTCGTGGTCTGCGTCAGGCGGCCAAGCTGCTGGAGAAAAACGAGTTGGGTGAGATGGTCAAACAGCGCTATGCCTCGTGGAAGAGTGCGCTTGGCGAACGCATCGAGCAGGGAAAGGCTACACTCGAGGAGGTGGCGGCGTACGCGAAGGAGTCTGGCGAGCCGGACCACGTGTCTGGCAAGCAGGAGCTGGCCGAGCTGATGCTCTTCCGTGGTGTGCAGTAAATCTGGTTTGGCATGGTAAATTTCGTCAGTCAAGGACCTGTAGGGCAGATCATTTCTTTTTTTCTTTGATGAGTCAAAGTCGTATTTTTTCGTACGAGAGAATCTCGACCTGAGTGTTTATCGTCTCCATGTAACCTCGTCTTCTACAGTCTTCAGTAAACTCTATTCAATAGAGTGTACAAAACCCAATCCAATATTGTCCTGGGAGGACAGGTAGAAGAGCTGTATGGACAGCCTCACACAGATTAATTTTGTTCCAAAAAAAGTTGGTTATATCACGAACGACTTTCAGATCACACAGCACTTTCACAACTATTACAATAGTGACACATTAATAGTGACACATTACATTCATCCAATCTACGTAACATCACAAAAAATTGCAAGTTGCTTGACTAGCAATGGTTGTCAGCTATAAGGCCAGGCAAGTGCAACACGGACCTCCTTGACAATTTTTTTGCGGTACAATGGGGCTAACCCAAACTGAGCGCACTTCAGTCGTGTAAGTACTTCGCCAATTCGAGAAGCATTACAAAGTAGGAGATCCATCGCTATGCTGGTGACAAGCAATACACAAGTTGGATGTGGTCGCACATCCAACGATACAAAATCAAAAGATGAAGGACGGATTCTATACAGAACCGCCTAATCAGGCTTCTATAGGAATACAAATATTACACTCAAGTGCAAGACCACCATTATCTCTCTAGCAATGCTTGTCGCCTTAACGCATTATTACAAATCGTTTCTCTGCCAACATCACGTGCGTTAAAGGTGAATCGTGCATCGCGAGCTATGATGCGTTAAAATTCCCATTTAGTTCCAAAGGCTAGTTGCAGTACCATAACAGATGCGCGTCGTGAAATTAGCGTTAATAGTAAACCACTGGAAGATTTAGTGCGCAACTTAACTCAAATTTCCATGGCGAGGACTTAGTCGTTTGGGGCAAAGTGTTTGTTTGCCACACCAGCCGTGATGAAGGGCGTGGTGCGGCGGGTTATCGCTCAGAGGAAAAAGGAAAAGTGACTAAACTAAGCTTCTTCGTTCTCTGCTCTGTGTTATCCTCGCCCTCTGGTCCGAAACGAGAATAGTGTCGGTTGTGAAACTCCTTGCGTCTTCCCAGGAAGCCAGAACATCCTCCGAATGTTCTCCAGAGCGTTATCAGCCCCAAAATGAAAACAAATATGACCCTATGCTGAGCGACCTCACCACCGCAGCGTCACTCTCTCGAAATCAAGGCTTTTTGTATAAACTAGATACTCCGAGTATGAGAAATAAAAAAAAATGAAAGACGCTGTTTGATTCAGTAGCGGATTGAGGTTGCCATTCTGCTACTTCTTCGGCGGGTCAGCCCAAGCTGCTCCCACGCTTTCACTTTACTACGACGAGATAGTTATCGCAACCTACACAGGACCCTAGTTGAGCGTTCAAGAATTTTGTTAGTTTGAGCTTCCAAGCTTGTAGAACTAAAAAGTTAGTTGTTTTCGAGTGATTCGCCTGGTTGATGACAGAACAATGTATGTGAAGCACCATTCACACACACCAGGCTAGTTAAACGAAATACTTCTACGCCATTTCCACAGTCCTCCCCGCCTAAAGCAAAGCACCTTAGTTGTGCACCTGGAATGAAGGATAAGTGCATGTATCACTACAGCAAATAATTTGGGACCCTCGTAGCTTAATGTGACGCAACATGTATTCATTAATTCCTCGTAAAAAAACACACACGAGCGGATCTGACCAACACAACAATGCCGGGAAGACTTGAGCACAAATACACAGAAATGTACAGTAATACACATATCCTCCAGATCACCCCAAAACATTAAGATCGTCTTTCGTTTTAAAAAAACACTGTCGAAATTGTCACTAAAACGGTCTCGCACCAAGGCTGCCTAGAAGAACCGCTCCTTCCGAGCGGCGCTGAACATCTTCGCGAAAAGAACGGGATTCTTTATGAAATTCTTGAGTGCTCGCACCCAAGAACCAGTTAGCATCGCTCTCTCCTCAGTTGCTGCCGAATGCCCCGTGTCTAGTTGAGTCATCGCGTACGCGTCGTCAGAGATAGTTGCTTTCTCGGAGCCATCGTGGAATACCACAACCACTTCGCCCGTCCGGTTGCCATCCTTGATTCTAACCTTTCCAACCCGAAGGTAGGGTGTAGCTGTCGTCGCGTCTGGAGTCGCACGATTGATGGCTTCGGAGGTGGTGACGCCAGCGATGAGGGTTGTAATCATAGTCATTACAGTAACGAGCAAAACGTGGCTGGATCGCATGATGTTGATCGAAGGCTTAAGACACTAAACTCTCTCCTTGGGTGTATGTGGTTCAATTGATGGAATGCAAAATGCGAAATGAACTGAAGGCGACGACTCGAGGCTCGAGTCGAGCGTCAACAAGTTGCCGGAGATGCCTTCTTGACGATAACATTGGAGGCTTTGCTTACCTGGTCCAACATGCGATCGCTGATGAAACCCGACTAATAATCTGGATTTCGACTCCAGATACCAAAAAAATCTGGTTTTTATACTAGAAGTACAGAACTTCAGACAAAAAAACTGGGTTATCGTTCGAGAAATAAAACTATGTATGTGGCAGTAAGTAGATTACGGGTACTTTTGCAAAACGTAAGTACTGTACTATAAGTACTGTACTACTTTATTCGACTAGATTACGACACTTTTGCAAGACGTAACGCCTCCGATTATGTTCGGTTTGGTGACCTGAGATCATCAATAATTAGTTGAGGTTTTTTATTTCACCCTATTAGCTTATTATAGGGACCAGAAGGCAAGTGAATAAAGGAATAGTGAGCGATAATACATGACGAGTGTCCCGCCTCAGTAATCTACTGAGGGAGACACTCGATTGAATCGCTACGCGTACAGAATACTTAGTACCTTCAATTGAGAGTAAGTTGGAGGTTGACGACACACTGCCGATCATTTAGTGTCCAGGCAGTGTTTTGGAGAAAGCAGTAGCTACCGTCTTACCCCGCACTAGTCATCTAAGCGCTCAATTAGAAAAGAGAGCCCCATGGGCGTTTTATCCATATATACAGCCTAGGCGTTCAAGTGCAGAGTAATACTAAGAACTAGAAGAACGCCGTGGTAGCAGACACCTTTCTACACATACTCCTTCAAGGTGAAGTAAGGTCCAATACGGGCCATGCAGATTGATTGTGTTGCACATTTCGCAACGTAAGTGTACTTGGAGATGACTCGGCAGCAACTAACTCGCCAGGGTTGGCACAGATCTTAATCTAGGTATTATGAGGGATATGGACCGAATT